GGGCCGGGCTGCGGCCCCCGCTGCCGCGCTCGGGCACGCCGTGTGAGCGCAGCGGCGGCGCCCCTCTGCAGAACAGCGTCAGCCGTTCTGTGCGGTCGGCTTGTCTCCTCCGGCCTCTGCCTGTCCTGCGGAGCCGGGAGGGTGAGTGAGCCCACAGCCGGGGTCTCGAGAAGAATGATGTCGCTGTGCCCTGTGCTTTAGTGGCAAAAGGGGATTCTGCTCGTAGATGGTGGGTGACGCTAATCCGTTTCTTCTCTGGTTGTATAAACTATTCTGTGAATTGGTAAAGACTGATTTTGTTCCATTGCTTTTCTGTCTTTTTCCCTATCAGTGTCAGAAATCCTTTGTGTCTAAACAGTGCCTGGATTTCTCCTACCCAGCTGGCTCCACAGTCATTATTCCTTAACTTGCAGGGTATTTTTCAGAACCAGTAGCTTTGTGTCTTTTTGCTTATTTCTGGGCAGGAAAGTTCCTTCAGCCACACAGCCTTATCCCAAGCTCTGGGCAGCCTACTGCAGAAATACGCCTTTAAAAACGCCCGTCAGGTATGGGGGCGGGGGCTAAAGCATTCTTTAAGAAATAGACAGTTTCAGCATTCCCCACCGCCGTCCTACCCCGCACCCCGCCACCCCCTCCCCCCCGTTCAGTTCGGTCCAGTCCAACTCCTGAGGGGTGCAGGATTTAGAGGAAGAATGTGGCTTTGAGGCCGGCGAACTTGGCTCCTCCTTGTACAGTTCAGTGCCCTTGCTAAAGTCCTTTCACCTCGGACTCAGTTCTCTTATTTGTGAAACAAGAATAATAGTTAAATTTACCTCACTGAATTGGGGTGAGGTTGACACTGTAAAAGTTAGTTGAATTTCTGGATGAGTGTTTTGCTGAGAGGATTCAGAAGTGGATGTGAGGACTTCGGGATAATTGAAAGGCTAGGAGGCATATAACTGCAGAGTCAACAAGAAATGCATTCAAGGGGAATGGGTAACTGGGTAATGATGAAGATCTAACGTAGATTAGGAAATATGAATTTCTAGAGTTCTACAGAATTTTTTACGTGATGTTGGCAGCCTTTGAGTGGAAATGAAGAAAGTGGTATCCTTCCAAAAGAAAAAAAATTTATATAAACTTCAGACCCTATAAAACCTGAATCTACCCCTGGTGGCAAGGTAGGATCAGTGGAAGGTCAGAGGCAGGGCGGGTTTGAGGGTTAGAAGGACTAACCATGGGGTCTGGGCTGGTGAGGTCAGATTGGAGGAGGTGGTGGATGAGAGTGTCAGAGGACAGGCGCGTGAAGGGGTGAAGAGCAGAGTCAGCGGGAGTGAGAGCACGGGGGAGAGGAAGCAGCGTGTGAGGATGAGTTCTGATGTTTCTGAGTGCCTGCTGTAAGCTGCCCACCAAGAATACAGGGGTGCACACAACAGTGCATCATCGGGGAAGAAGGAACACACGTGCCAGAGCCTGGGCATCCCAGAGAGGTGCCTTCAAGGACTGAGGAAAGCTCAGGGGCTCGAGTGTGGGGTACAGGGAGGGGTCTGGAGAGGTGGACAGAGGCTGGATCTCAGGGGGCCTCTATGGGAGTTTGGACTTTATCCTGAGGGCAGAAGGGGGCTGTTAAATGTTTTTAAGCAAGAGGTGATCAAATCTGTCCTTGAGAATGGTCATGCTGTATATATTGGAGAGAATCTACTCCACGTGTGCACAAGGAGGTGTGTGCAGACTTGTCTCACTGGTCGTAGTATACTCAGACAGTTGAAAACGGCAAGTTAGAGTTTCGTGAATCTACTTGGAGAAACCTCAAAAACAACATTGAGCTTGTAAAAAAACAAGTTGCAAAAGGACATATACAGAGTACAATACCACTTGTAAAAAGCTTGAAAACATACGTATATTAGGTGTTGTTATTTGTGAGCACATACTCATGTGGTGAGAGTGAAAAGCATGTGTGGGAGTTATATGCACCAGTGGTTCTCAAACTTTAGCAGGCATCCGAATCACCTGGAGGACTTGTTGAAACAGATTTCTGGGCCCCACCTCAGAGTTTCTGATTCCGTAGGTCTGGAGTGAAGACTTGGAACCTGTATTTCTTGCGAGTTCCTTGGTGATGCTGCTGTGGCAGGTCGAGGGACCACAGTTTGAGAACTACTGACACACCAACTTGAGGTTGGTGATTACTTCCTGGGAGGGAGTAGAATGAGACCGGGAGGGGTCCAAAGGGGCTTCAACTATATATATAATATTTTATTTCTTTAAAAAGATCTTCGAGCCAGCCCTGATGGCCTCATGGTTCAAGTTTGGCGCCCTTACCACTTTGGTGGCCCAGCTTCATTTCCCGGTCTCGGAACCACACAGCCAGTCTGTCAGTAGGCATGCTGTGGTGGTGGCTCACACAGAAGAACTAGAAGGACTTACAACTAGTATATACAACCATGCCCTGGGGCTTTGGGGAGGAAAAGAAAAAGATAAAAAAATATGACACTGGGGCCAGCCCGGTGGTGTGGTTAAGCTCAGTGCCCTCTGCTTCGGTGGCCTGGAGTTCATGGGTTCTGGATCCCCAGCAGACCTACACACCACTCATCAAGCCATGCCATGGTGTTGACCCACATGTAAAATAGAGGAAAATTGGTACAGACATTAGCTCAGGCCAGTTTCCCCACCAAAAAAAAGAAAAACAAAACAAGGCAATGTTACTTGACAAAGCTGGATGGATGCTCATGATCTTATTTTTTGATTTTCTCTGTGCTTGAAACATTTCAGGAAAGGAAAAAAGATCCTCTTTGCTGTGTGGAGAATGGATTGGAAAAGAGAAAGAAGTGGGAGACCATGTAGGAAAGCGTTGCAGAAGCCCAGGTAAGAGTTGCTGGTGGCTCAGACCAGGGTGGGGGCACAGGAAGGGGAGGAGGGAACAGACTGAGAGAGATCTGGGGGATAGAATCGCTGTAGGTGGTGGTTGGTTGGTTTAGAGGTTAGAGGAGAGGGGGGAATCAAGTCACCTGCTCTGTGACTTGAGCAAATGGGTGGGTCATGTGCCTGTCACAGAGTGGGCACCCTGGAGAAGGAGCATGCTGGGGGAAGGAGGGAAACATCCCAGACCTTGAGAAGCCAGCTGCGTGGAGTGTAGGAGAAAGATCTGGGCCACAGTGGAGACTTGGAAATCATCAGCGTTTACATGGGCACCAAAGCATAAGCGTGGATGCGATGCCATGGAATATTTAGAATGGAAAGATGGCCTGCGACAGGCCCGAGGAACATCATCACCCAAGGAGGGCTTGGCCAGCTGCCCCCCACCCACTCTTGTATGGCCTGCGAGCCTAGAATGCTTTTACCTTTTTCAAAGTTGGGGGGGGGGATCAAAAGAAGAATAATCTTTTGTGACGTGTGAAAACTGTATGAAATTCAGATGTCAGTGTCCATAAATAAAGTTTTATTAGAACACAGCCACGGTCATTGATTTACATAGTGTCTGGGGCTGCTTTTGTACTCTGGTGAAAGAATTGAATAACCGTGACAGAGACAGTGGTGGCTTCTCAGCACTTTGCACTGCTGCTTGGTGCGCCAACAAGCCACAGTGATGTGGCCACCACTCAAATTCAACTTCTGGCCCCTAAACCTAAATACGTCCTGTCTGGCCCTTTATAGAAAACAGTTTGCTGGTCTCTGACTTAAGGTCCAAGTTGAGACACGCTTGGTCACTTTGAGTGTTGTAGAAGAGAGAAGGCAGTGTTATTCGTGTCTTTAAGAGCACCTTGTAAGGATCAGGTCCCGGTGGAAGAAGCCCTAGAGACCGGGAGGCCTGAGTGGTAAAAGTCGTTCTATTTTCAGTCGAAGTCCCTGACGGTGACAGCAGGGAATGGGCCACAGAGAAAGATGGGGGGTGAGAAGGGGGAGCGGGCAGCCGTCAGGTGCTGGGTGTAGCGGGAGAGACCAGGCAGCAGGGTGAGCAGACGGCCTCTTCAGGAGTAGAGCTGATTACTGAGCAAGCGCCTCTTAATGAGGTATAAGCAAAGCAGCACTTCCTTTCGTTCATTAGGAAACGCTGCACTGAGTGTTCTTCTACAAAAGAGTCCATTATTTCTGGAATTGCCTGTAGAGAGGCAGCGAGGTCGCTCTGCTGACCCTTCCCTGCAGCCTCCCTGGCCTGGGTAACTGGAAGAATCGAGCTGTCGCTGACTGAGGCTGTGAGCACCACGAGAATGGTGAGGGGAGAGCAGACATTAAGTTTGGGAAGTATTCTTGTTACTTTTTTAAGTTGAGATGTAATTCACATACCATAAAATTTGCTGTTTTAAAGTGTACAATTCAGTGATGTTTAGTATATTCACAAGGTTGTGCAGCCATCACCACTGTCTAATTCTAGAACATTTTCATTCAAAAAGAAATCTTGGGCTGGCCCCGTGGTGTAGTGGTTAAGTTCAGTGTGCTGCACTTTGGCAGCCTGGGTTTGGTTCTGGGGCGCAGACCTGCACCACTTGTCAGTGGCCATGCTGTTGCAGTGAGCTACATACAAAATAGAGGAAGGTGGGCACAGATGTTAGCTCAGGGTGAATCTTCCTCAGCAATCAATCAATCAATCAATCAATCAATCAATCAATCCTGTACCCACTAGCAGCCACTCCCCATTTGCCCTTTCACCTGGCCCCTGGCAACCACTAATCTGCTGTCTCTATGGATTTGCCTGTTCTGGACATTTTGGAATCAGGATTTGTGGTCTTCTGTGTCTGGTCTATTCACTTAGCATCATGATTTCGAGGTTCATCTGTGTTGCTGCAGGTGTTAGTGCCTTATTCCTGTTTATGGCTAAATAATATTCCATCGTATGGATATATCATGTTTGATTATTCATCAGTTGATGGACATTTGGGTTATTTCCACTGTTTGGCTGTTATGAATAACACTGCTGTGAACATTCATGTGCAAGTGTCTATGTGAATGTATGCTTTCATTTCTTTTGGGTATATACCCAGCAGTGGAATTGCTGGGTCATATGGTAACTCTTGTTTAACCTTTTGAGGAACTTCCAGACTATTTTCCACAGTGGCTGCACCACTTTACATTGCCACTAGCAATATATGAGGGTTCCTATTTCTTCACATCCTTGTCAACACTTGTTATTATCTGACTTGATTACAGCCATCCTGGTGGGTGTGAGGTGGGATCTTGTGGTTTTGATTTGCATTTCCCTGACGACTAACGATGTTGAGCATCTTTTCACGTGCCTATTGGCCACCTGTATTTCTTGTTTGAATATATCTATTCAAGTCCTTTGCCCATTTTTAAATTGAATTATTTGTCTTTTTATTGTTGAGGAGAACTATTATTTGGAGTTGTCCATCAAAGGTCCGAATAGAGATGTCAAGGAAGCATTCTAGAGTTCTGAGGAGGCTGGGAGCATTGGCAGGTGGAGGGATGGAGAGTCGTGAGTCTGGATGAGATCTCTGGGGGTGAGTGACGGGGGTCTGGGTCTGAGCCCTGGGCACTCCCGCGTTTAAAGTCAGAGACTCAGGAGCCGACAGAGGGCGGTTTCCTGGGAACCAAGCAAAGAGAGCGTTTTAAGGAGAGAATGATCAGCCAGGCCAAATGGTGCTGAGAGGTCGTGCCGAGAAGTCGAGCCCAGGGTGAGAGGTCGAGCCCGGGGCGGCGAATTGACCCTTGCGGTCAGCGTTTACTGACAGTCAGTGTGGGTGGGGCAGCAGTGAGTGAGGGAAATGAGTCCAGGAGAAAGCGGTGGAGAGAGTGAGTCTGCTTACCCATCCAAGGGGTTTGCCAAAGAGCGGAGAGAGGCCTAGGGCAGAAAGTGGAGGGCCCGGCGGGTGGAGAGAGGGTGTTGGAGCTGACGGAGCGGTCAGCGCGTGGTCCCCGGGCGGCGGAGGGAGCTGCAGGCGCAGTGAGGTCAACGGGCGGGAGGCGCAGTCTGCGCACAGCCTGGGGCTCGGGGTAGAGCACAGCCGCCGGGGAGCGTGTTCGCCGCCGCCGGGGAGCGTGTTCGCCGCCGCCGGGGAGCGTGTTCGCCGCCGCCGGGGAGCAGGCCGAGGGACAGGACCTGCCTTGCGGTGCTGGGGCTGGTGGCAGAGCTCTCTGATTGCTTCTGTTTTTTTCAGGAAAATAGGAAACAAGGTCATCAGCTGAGAGTGAGGGTGGGGGAGGAGGTGATACAAGTTTGAAGAGGGGGCCCTAGGCCGCGGGGACGAAGCTGGCGGGTTCACTGACCTATTGCAGTGAAGACAGCGAGACAGCACGGCGTGGGGCGGGGGTCTCAGGCGGAGGGAAGACAGATTTGCGGAATTGGGGACCGGCTGGAGTTGAAGCAAAAGTTGAAGGAAGCAGTGTTTTGATGGGCTCAAAGCCAAGCAGGGCTGTCTGTAAAGAGGTCAAGATCTGGTCTGGACTGCACAGTGGACGCCAGGGTGGGTTTCCTGGGACACTGCAAGGTTCACACAGACGTGCAGCGTGGTCTGCAGGAAGCGCTCGTCTGCGGCGCTGCCCGGGGCTGGAAGAGGCGGCGGCTTCTCCGGGCCCGAGCGGCTCAGCTCCTCCAGGCCAGAGCGGGAGCCTCCCTCTCCTCCCGGGAGAAGGACGAGTTCCTGGTGGTCTGTGACTTTAGAGGACAGAGTTCTCCGTGAGTGAGAAGGCAGGCGTCCTTCAGAGAAGAGGGTTGTCTGACGCCAGCTGCAGTGTCCTGAGGAGAAATGCGGTTCCCTGTTGACCCGGCGGCTGGCTCCGTCGGTGTCTGTGGTCCCAGCTCAAGGAATGGCAGGTGGACTTGGCTTTCTCCAGGAGCAGGTGTGAAGGAGCTGTCGTCTTCTGATTTTTTTCGTGGCTGGCTCCTCTCAGGCTTCCAGTGTGAGCGTGAATGTGGCCTCCTCAGCGAGGTCTTCTGGGGCTGCTTCACTCAGGGCATTTCCTCCCGGTATTCTCTGTCCTGGAACTTTTTGTTTCCTTGTTGGTTGTCTGTCTTCCCCACGTGGTTTCCCCCTGAGCTCCAAGAGGTTAGGAACCACGTCTGTTTTATTCACTCACATACCCCGGTGCCTGGAGCACGGCTGGCAGGGAGCAGCTGCTTAATCTGTGTTGAAGGAATGAGTGGCCGGAAGGTGGCGATGGAGGTGGAGGGAGCCCACTGGGACCAAAGAGAGGCTGTGAGGAGACGGGGGCTCTGAGCCCAGACAAGCTGACAGGGTTCAGTGACAGTGGCCAGGCTGCAGGAGGCCTTCCCTGCGGCTCCTGGGGCTCGGAAGCCTGAGGGACACCCAGGCGCTTCCACCTGGGGAAGGGGGACCATGTGCACTGTTGCCGTTTGTCTGTGTGCAGAGTTGCAGAGAGAGAGGTTTTTAACACACCTTGCTCTTGGTACTTTCTGGCAGAGTACTTTCAAACCAGTGCCCGGGGCCAGCCAGAACACTGACTGACCCAGGTGTCTGGATGGAGACCTGAGCTGGGAGAAGAAAGACGCTCCTGGAAGGTAATGTTTCCTGTCACAGATGTCTCAGACACAAGAAGCACAGGGTCAATTCTGTCACTAGTGTCCCCTGTGCATCCCAGTGCTGCTATTCAGCTGGCACCACTGGTGTGGCCATATCCCTTGTTAGAGTATTGACACACCTCCATTCTGGTTCCATTCTGGGTCAAGCACCCTGAATGTCAAGCACCCAATGTCCAGGGTCCTTCCCCAGCCCTCTCCCCTCCCGACCCCACCATCCAGCAGCTAAAGTAGTAGTGCCTGCCTTCACCAGGGGCTCCCTCCAGCTCCAGTGCTAGAGCCGGAGTCCATTCAATTGGTGAGTGTCCATGCCGTATCAGTGGTTACTTAGTGTGGGGATCACCTCTGTGCCATCTTCTCTCCATTCTCACCACCATTGTTCTAGCTCACGTACTCGTCAGCTCTTCTCCCAGATTGTTGCCGGGGCCTCCTAACCAGTCTCCCAGCCTTAGTCTCTTCCACCAAATGCGCCTTTCACACCAGCTGAAGAGTAGCCTTTGCCTCTTAAAAACCTTAAGGAGCTTTTGAGTATCTTCCGGGGGACATCGCAACTTCTTAGCCAGGTTCAAGAGGCCCTCAGCATTCCAGCCCTCACCCACCACCCTCGCTAATCTCCTACTGCTCTCCTTTATCCATCTTCCTCCCTGGCCCCACTGGACTAACAAATTCATAGTTTGCTTTCATTTTACTAACTGTTCCTTGAGTATCTACTCAGTGCAAACTGCTGTGGGAGAGACAAAGGCAGGGTCAGACACAAACACCTCCCTTCTCATCGGATCTGAAGTAGATGAACCCGGACTGTGGTTGGTAATAAATAATGATCATGGGCACAGGTGAGACTGAACGTTTAGGATGAGCCTTGCATTCAGTACCTTCCTGAATCCTCACAGTGACACTGAAGGGAGCAGGATCCTTGAGCAGTGGAGGCGTGAGAGGGTGTGGCACCTTTAGTCCTTACTCTTCAAAACACTTTCATGGAAATAAAAATGGACTGTTGTTATTTCTTGTTTTATTTTGTACTGTAGGAAATTACAGAGGCTAACAACATGGAAAAGAGGCCCCAGGACGGTAGAATAGGTACCCCCCACAGAGAGGTGCCCCCGGTGGTGGGGCTGCTGCTGGCCATGGCCCTCATGAACGCGCTCCTCTACCTCTGCCTCGACCGGTTCTTCATTTCCCCTCGACTGTCTGCTGTGGACCCTGGCCACTGTCCCCACGGCTACTTCAGAATGGGACAGATGGGAAACTGCTCACCATGGCTGTCCTGTGAGGAGCTGAGGACAGAAGTGAGGCAGCTGAAGCGCGTTGGGGAAGGAGCTGTGAAGAGGGTGAGTTCCTGATTGACTCCTGCTGACTCCTGCGTTACCTTGTGGGCGGTGCCCTGGAGGCGGTAACCCAGCCGCTGTTGGGGAAAGCAGCTTGGCGGTCTGTGTTAAGAGCTCTTGAAATGTTTCTGCCCTTGAGCCCAGTGATCTCACGTCTGGGGCTTGATCCTAATAAAATAATCCAAAGGAGGAAAAAAGCTACATGCATAAAGGAGTACCTTGCTTTGTTATGGGTAGTAATAGGAAACTAGAAACAATAACTATAGGGGAATGTTTAATTAAAGGATGGTCCACCCACTTCACAGAATATTCTGCAGCCATTAAGTATAGTTAGGAACCCCGTGTAGCAACATGAAAAAAATCCTGGTGGTAACTGAAAAAAGCAAAATATAAAATTGTACAATACACTATTCAACTGCAAAATTATGTCTTTATGTAGAAAAATATAAAAATGATGGAAATTGTGTTATGGTTGAAGATTATGGGCAATTTTTTTGGGTACCAGCCAAAGGTACCCAAATGATGGGTACCAGCAGAGGCCCCAGGACAGAGCATGCCTGGTTGTCTGGGGCTGAGGAAGGAGCCCGTGTGACCAGAGGGCAGGATGAGGAGAAGAGAGGTAGCACATGAGGTCAGAGAAGGGTGACCGGGGTGGTGGCAGGGTCGTGCTGGGCCTGGCAGGACCTGGGGAACCGTTGGAGCAATTTGAGTAGAGGAATGATGTGGTCCGATGTGAGTGGAGAGTGACCAAGGCCTGGCGAGGGTGGAAGTTTCGTTAGGCATTGCCGGTGAAAGATGGTCTCAGCTTGACAAGGGTGTTAGCAGTGGACATAGTGAGAAATCAGTGGATTCTGGATGTATTTTATTATTTTTGTGTGTGTGTGTGAGGAAGATTAGCCCTGAGCTAACATCTGTTGCCAATCCTCCTCTTTTTGCTGAGGAAGATTGGCCCTGGACTAACATCTGTGCCCATCTTCCTTCACTTTATATGGGACGGCACCACAGCATGGCTTGACAAGTGGTGTGTAGATCCATGGCCAGGAATCGAACCTGTGAACCCTGGGCTGCCGAAGTGGAGTGTGTGAACTTAACCACCATGCCACCCGGCCAGCCCCTATTCTGGATGAATTCGAAAGGTAGAGCCAGTAGTATTTCCCAGTGGGTTGGAAGTGGGGTGTAAGAGGAGGCGAGGGTGTCATTACCTGAACGGGGAAGATGGGAAGGCACAGATTTTGTGTGTGTGTTAGGTGGGCACATTAAGGCCATTTAGATGTCCAAGTGGAGACACAGGCGGCTGGGTGGATGCCCAAATCTAGCATTCGGGGCAGGGGTTGGGGTATGAATTTGGGATGGTATTGAAAGCACTCGGATGTGAAGAAATCGCCAGGGAGGGTGCAGGCAGAGGAGAGGACTTACAGCTGGTTTATTTCCGTCTCCTTCAAAGAGGGGACCTTGAGGGGCTGCCCACTTGTTTCCACGTTATTGCAGTTGCTCAGAACGTTTTTGGAATTTCTTTTTCAGAATTGCTTTTCACCTTGAAGGATATGTTTTTGAGTAGTTTTGATGGTGGCAAATCATTGTTTGAGGGTAGATTTGATTTTAGGGAACTCTACCAATAATGCCCATCCAATTATGGGGTTTAATACTGGGGGTACTAACTCTGAGTAATGGAGTTTTGTTTGTTGAAGTGAAGTGTGACTAAAAGGCCGATACATTGATTTTTTCCTGTCTTTGACTAAAACCTGCCCTCGGGGCACACATATTGTGACCACTGGCTGTAGCTCCACGTCAGGAGCCGTCTGTCTCGCCCCCATCGGACACCAGTGCCTGGGCAGGTGCTGGCCCCGGCACTCATTTCCTCCATAGAAGCACTGACTTGAACCGCCCCCTGCACATACCGTGCTTCCTGGCGCTGCCAGCACATCCTCTCCTCGCAGGCACCCCTCCCTGCTGGCACGCCCAGATGGGAGGCAGAGGTTTCTCAGTAGGAATTTCTGTAACCGCAGTTCTTAACCAGCGCTCTCTGGCTTCCACCTCCTCCCCTTCGAGTGCCCTTGCTTCCATAGTTCCTCTGTCTCACTGGGACCCCCAGTGTACTGATCCCGTGATGATTTCACTTTCTGACCCTCCATCCTGTCTCCACGCCTTGCTTCACCCAGCCACAGAGATTCCATGGCTGTTGTCCTCATCGCTCTTGTGCAAACGCTCACAACAACTCCCTTGCATCTCTTTCTCCATCATGCCTGGCTTGAGAGCCCCAAACCTGGTTGATCCTAACTATGCAGCAGCCCCTGCCCACCTCGTCTTAGCTAATGTTCTAGTTACATGAGTTGTTATGAAACAGAAGCCACCCAAAGGGAATTTCTTCACCCTCCCACCATCAGACCTGTAAACCTTCCAGCTCAGGTGTCTCCCTGACCTCTCACGACCTCACTCATTTAAGGTGTTCCCTCTCTGTTGCATCCTCAGTCTTTCCCACTTTGAGCATCCTTCCTACTGGCATAAGTTGGGGAAGAGGGAAAATCCCCTTCCACCCTTTCTCTTAAGGTTCTTATGGCTGGCCAGATAATTAAAAGGCAGGTTAGCAGGAGAAAATAAAACCAAGTTTAATAACATGTATACATGGGAGAAACCAGGGAAACTGAGTTTCTCGATAAAATGACAGAGATTCTCATCTTAAACACCATCTTCAGCTAAAGACCAAGGAGGATGTTGGGGGTAGTGGTTTGGGATTTCAGAGGGGAAGAAGACAATTCACATGGAGAGGGAAATGTAAATGTTTGTCAGACAATTCTTTACAGGGCCACCTATAGGGAATGTGGCCAGAGAAACAGAAATCACAGTAATCAAGAGTAAGTAGATTTAAATCCTCTCCTTCCATACTGATAAGAGTTTCCAGAGACAAGGCCATCCCCCCCCCACCTTGCCAGTACAGAGAGGGAGATACCTTTACAAATGTAAATGTTTGGTAAACAGAACTTTGATAAGAGTGGGCTTAGCGAGGACCCTGCCAGCCTGTCCATACCCAGAGTTAAATTCCTTTAGGCAGTTAGTGGGGGAGGTCAAATGTCTATCAAAGAAAATAATCAAGGTAAAGAGACATATTTCAGGGTGGTCAATTTTGATCTCCCACACATACAAACACACTTTTTAAATTGATGTCATAATAGTTTATAATATTGGGAAATTTCAGTTGTACATTATTATTTGTCCGTCACCATATATATGTGCCCCTTTACCCCTTATGCCCACCCCCTAACCCCCTTCCCCTCTGGTAACAATTAATCTGTGCTTTTTGTCCATGTGTTTGTTTATCTTCCACATATGAATGAAATCATACAGTGTTTGTCCTTCTCTGTCTGGCTTATCTCACTTAGCAGAACACCCTCAAGTTCTGTCCATGTTGTTGCAAATGGGACGATTCTGTCTTTTTTTATGGCTGAGTAGTATTCCATTTTACATATATATACCACATCTTTATCCACCCATCAGTCAATGGGCACTTGGGTTGCTTCCACATCTTGGCTATTGTGGATAATGCTGCAGTGAACATAGGGTGCATAAGTCTGTTTTAATTGTTGATTTCAAGTTCTTTGCATAAATACTCGGTAGTGGAATAGTTGGGTCATGTGGTGTTTTGATTTTTAATTTTTTGAGGAATCTCCATACTGTTTTCCATAGTGGCTGCACCAGTTTGCATTCCCATCAGCAGTGTATGAGGGTTCCCTTTTCTCCACATCCTCTCCAGCATTTGTTGTTTTTTTGTCTTGGTGATTATAGCCATTCTAACAGGTGTAAGGTGATATCTGATTGTAGTTTTGATTTGCATTTCCCTGATGATTAGTGATGTTGAACATCTTTTCATGTGCCTGTTGGCCATCTGTATATCTTCTTTGGAAAAATATCTGTTCATATCCTCTGCCCATTTTTTGATTGGGTTGTTTGTTTTTTTGTTGTTGAGTTGTATGCGTTCTTTATTTGGAGATTAACCCCATGTCAGATACATGATTTGCAAATATTTTCTCCCAGTTGGTGGGATGTCTTTTCGTTTTGTTCATGGTTTTCTTTGCCTTGCAAAAAGCTCTTTAGTCCAAACACACACTCTTCAAAAACAAAATCCTCTTCCCTTGATTCCCTGTTCCTCTGTAGCTACCGTCCGTTCTCTGCTTCCTCTACAGTGGAGCTGCCGTCGCTCTGTCTCTGCTTCCTCTTCTCGCCTTCACTCTCTCATCCTCTTCCAGTGTGGCTTCCAGATGCCACCACTCCAGTATCTTATCCAGGTTGGATGTTGCTCTGGCTTCCTCTCACTTGATCTTTTCTGCAGCCCTGGATCCGGTGGACCCCTCCCCTGTTCTCGCACCCTGGGGCCGCAGCACCACCACATCTTTGAGTGTTCCTCTCCCTCGCTGGCCGTTCCTAATCACTGTCCTTTGCTGCTTCTGTTCCCTGTCTTGCCTCCAGATCAGTGGTTCTCAGCCAGAGGTGATTTGCTCCTCAGGGGGACATCTAGCAACAAATAGAGACGCAATTGCCGTTGTCAGAACAGCAGGGAGAGGAGGTGATCCTGGCATCTACTGTGTAGAGGACAGGGATGCTGCTAAAAATCATCCTCCGATGCACAGGGCAGCCCTCACCCTCAACAAGTAATTATCTGGCCCAAATGTCAATAGTGATGAGGTTGAGAAACCTTATTCCTCTTGGTTCCTTTGTGGATCCTCTTGTCTTCTTTAGATACACCCTTAGGTGATGTAGTCTAGCTCCGTTGCTTTAAATACATTTTATATGCAGGTGACTCCCAAAGTTGTATCTCTAGCCTGCCCCTCTCCCCTGAGCCACAGCTTTGTATATCCACCTATTTATTTGGCATCTCTACTTGGAGGTGTCTTGAGCATCCAAGTATGTCCAGTGTGGACCTCTTGGTAATTTCCCCCTCTGAGACCCAGCCTTCCCTATCTCAGGAAATGCCATCACTTCCCATCCAGCTGCTGAGCCAACACCTGGGG